GTTACTCCTGCCTTACCCTGCAAAAAGAGACGTTCTATATGGGAGAATTATGCTCAGTGCGACATCCTGTAAGTGGCCCCAACTCCACAGCTAAACCGACAGAGAGCCACACCAGCTGAACCCCATCGTCTCCCGGGAAAGGGGCTCGGGCTCCAAGCTACCAAACACACCTTCCTCTGCAAAACTCGGAGGCCCCACACACGACCTCGATCAACCCCCCCGCCCCCACTTCCCCAATTCTAGAACCCCAGAGGTCATTTTCTGTAAGCAATCTTACCTTCATGATGATTCCGGGACCGCGATCCCCTCGAAAACAGCAGATTCACCTGCACCTGGAAAGGAAACAAAAGACACCCGGTCAACACCACAGGCACCCCTCTGTACTGGCGGAGGCGGTGGGAACCGAGCGAAGCCTGAACCCCGAAGCAAAAGCCGTAGCGGACGTCAACCTCCGAAACACGAAACGCCGATGAGGGGCTCCCTGTGGCCTCGCCAGCCCCGCAAACCCAGCCACCTACACAGCTCGGCAGCTTCCCGTCCCCATTGTCGGGACCCGACGGAGTTTCCAGTCTCCGACAATGACGCCATTTCTGTCAGAGAAGAAACTCACAACAAGCCCGGGGGCCGGCGCGGCGCCGGCTGTCCTCCCCGAGGGCCTCCGGGCCCGGCCGAGCGGGTCGGTGCCCCAGAGGGTCGCGCAGCCCCGCGTCCGAGCCGGAGCAGGCCCGGGCCCAAGGGGCCCCGGATGGGGGCGGCGGAGAGGCCAGGCGGGCCGTAGGGCCGCGGGCAGGACCGACCCACCGCACAACCGCTGCCCACGTCCCGTTCCGAGGCGGAGACCAGACAAGTGCGAGGGGGATCCCCGGCTGCCGGACCGCGGAGACCGCCAGAGGACCGAGGGGCCGGGAAGGGGCACAGCCCCCCGCGCCGGCCCGGGCCCCCCATCGCGGCCCGGAGCCGGTAAAGCGCTGAGTGTGCGGCCGCCAGGCTGGGGGGCGACTCGGGCTTGGCAACTGCACGGGGGTGGGGGCTCCCGGGAGGCCGAGGCCCCGAATCCGGGCGCCCGGCGAGACCCCCGAGCGATCATCCCCTGCTCCTCGGCTGGGCCCGGTGACTCCCGAAAGGACCCCCTTACGAGACGGTGAAAGCCTCAGAAAATGACCCTACCTTCCGCGGAGGCGAGCTCTGACCCTGGCACGTCCAGAGTTCCCTCCCCTACTCCCCCCAAAACCAGTAGGCCCGGGGGAGAGATGGGGGAAGAAGGGCGGCGGGTCCAGCGGTTGCTGAGGCTGAAGCTCCGGCTCCTCCTCCTCCCGCGGCGGCGACTGGTACCTTTGTTTGGCGGCCGCTCGGGCTCCCTCGCTGGGGGGAGGGGGGACGACGAAAAATCCCTCCCGGACTGAAGGTCCGGGCCCCGAATCGCGCTGCCCTCCAGAGGACGGCGGCGCCAGACCCTCTGCGGCTCCCTCCGGGCAAAGATCCAGGCGGTGGCCGTGGCGGCGGCAAGCTTAAGCTCAAGAGTCTCCCTCCGCTCCGGCGCCCGAGCTCCTCACTCCGGACTCGACTGACGGGCAAACATCGCTTCCCCCCCCCAACCCCAAGTGTCCCCCCTCCCTTCTTTCTCCCCTCCCCTAGATATTTTCCCCTCCCCTACCTCTTTCCCGGAGGGCCTCTTAGACGACCTCGGATTGGTTAACATTCTTTAGAACCCGCCCATACCCTATTCTTATTGGTCCCCGGGATACAAACAACGACGCCATTTTCCCACCACTTCTATGGAAACAGAAAGTTACGCCTCAAAGCTTCCCGGGAAATGTAGTCCAACCTCCCGGGCCAATGCGCAAGCCCTTGCCCAGGAGAACTGCAAGATCCGCAATGCTCCGCGTCTGCATGAGACGAGAAGGGGGGGCGGAGCGACAAAGCAGTGGGGAGGCGGCAACGACGCCTGCGCAGTGTGACCGGGATGGCGCATTTTCCTGCACCGAGTAATGCGGTGTCGCTGGCGGCTGAGGAGGGTGGAGAGTTCTGTGGTGAAGTAGGGGGAGGGATCCATGTAGGCGTCAGGCGGCATCTTGGTCTGAACTATAAAGTGGGAAGTTGATGCTGGGTACTACTACTCCCGGACCGGCAGCGCGAAAGTTGTGATATCACCGTTGAACCGTGAGCGGCTGTGGTGGCGGCCGGGGGAAACCCGGATGGGAATGAGGGCGGGGGAGGCTGGAAGGCGGGGTCGAGAGGAAAGAAAGAAAGGAGGGTGAGGACCCGGATGCTGAACCGGATTGTGTATGAATTTTCCATCCTTGCTAGAGAAGGGGAGGAGCTGTAGGTGACCCAGTAGGGCGGAAGGAGGCATCTGAGCGGAGAGGAAGCAGGAACCTCACCGACCCTGCAGGCTCTGGACTAGCAGAGTACCCCCTTGAAGCCCTTTTGCCAAGTCTGTTAAAAATCGGCCTTGAAGTTATTTAAATCCACTGCCTGTATCTCGGGCAATTTTCTTCAGGTTTATCATCTCCCAAAGTTTGAGTGGAAGGATTCATTCTGCGTTTCACAGCTACACTTATTTTGTATGTCACTATTTAGCGATTTTGAAACCAGATCATTCCCTTAAAAAAAAAAAAAAAAACTTGCACGGTATTTTAACTTTTTATATTGCAAGTGTGTGCCCTGATTTCGTCCTCTAGCGCGTTAGAAGGCACTTTCTGTTCATTCAATCCTTCACATATCTATTGAACACCTACCATATAGAAAATCCGTACAGACAGATATGAAGTAAAATGGACCCACGAGTGTGAAATTGGTAACAGTGGTGACTGCTACAAAGGAGAGTTACGTGATGATTTAAAATAGGGAATTTTGCTTAAGGGAAGTAGAGTGAGGATCGAGCTGAGAGTGGGTTAGCAGGAGTTAACTAAGGAAAGAACATTCCAGGCAGAAAAAATATGTTGGAAAGCCTTGTATCTAGAGGGAGCTTTTAAAGTGTGAAGAACTAACATAATAAAAATAATAATGAGATAAAGTGTGAAGAACTGAAGTCGGGGTGGGGGAGGCGGGAGAGTAGTCCAATCTTAGTTTGTTAAGGAGTTTTGTTTTTACCTTAAGAGCAAAGGGATGTCTTTGAAGGGTTCTTGGTTGGGAAATAGGGCGAGATCTGAATTTTGCAAAGATGGCTGAAGAGTAGAGGTCTAGATTGAGGGGCAAATGCAGGGAGCCCAACTAGGAGATTATTTCAGTAATAGTCCACACACAGGGGATAATCTATTTTTATATTAATATTCATCCATTAATTGTAGGAACAAATTAAAGGCACTTTTCCAGTTTTGAAAGTGAGTAGTTTCAGACTCTCTCACAGAGGCATTCTGTAGTTATTCAATCTAAAAACAAGTTAGTAGATTTCATGTAACACTAATGCCTCAATATATTTGAGTCTAGTACCTGGTGGCTGAAATTTCTACCCATAATAGGAGTCCTTTGCGTTAAAAAAAAAAAAAGGGGGAAAAAATCAGGTAGGGTATAGGCCACAGTGTGTAGAACCCCTGAGACTTAAGACATAAAACAGATTACTTTTCAATACCTAGAAAAATTGAGGTTCCTGTGTTTTCCTGCTACTGAGAATACTTGTGTATAAACATCCTCTAGGAAAGGAACGTTAATTCACGTAATAATTAGTATTTTTGTATTTTAATGGCATCAACCAAAGCCTTAAGAATTGGAGCAAAGGTTAGTTAGCTCTGACTTCTGGGCAAAGTATACTTGTCTCCAGATAGAGACAAAAGAGTTCTTGACACATAACTCATAAGATAAATGTGTTCTGGAGGTTGTGAAAAAAGATAAACGTGATTATTGCTCTCAACCTAGTTGTGAAGAGATGGCTACCAACTGTTTTAAAGGCATAAGTGTATAAAAGATGCCCTTTTTTGTTTATCCTACCCCTAATTCTTTCTCTTCAGTAATCTTTTATGTAAGTGATTATTCTTCCTGCTTGTCACCTTTGTTTTTTTTTTAAAGATTTTATTTATTTGACAGAGACACAGCAAGAGAGGGAACACAAGCAGGGGGAGTGGGAGAGGGAAAAACAGGCTTCCCGCCGAGCAGGGAGCCCGATGCGGGGTTCGATCCCAGGACCCTGGAACCATGACCTGAGCCGAAGGCACACGCTTAACGACTGAGCCACCCAGGTGCCCTGCTTGTCATCTTTCTTTTTTTAATCTCTTAAGAATGGGGTAACATTGGGTGCCTGGGTGGCTCAGTTGGTTAAGCGACTGCCTTCGGCTCAGGTCATGATCCTGGAGTCCCTGGATCGAGTCCCGCATCGGGCTCCCTGCTCGGCAGGGAGTCTGCCTCTCCCTCTGACCCTCCCCCCTCTCATGTGCTCTCTCTCATTCTCTCTCTCAAATAAAAAAATAATAAAATCTTTAAAAAAAAAAAAAAGAATGGGGTAACATGTCAAAGTTAAACAGTATAGATAAGAGGGGTGCCTGGGTGGCTCAGTCAGTTAAGCGTCTGCCTTCGGCTCAGGTCATGATCCCAGGATCCTGGGATCAAGTCCCGCATCAGCTCCCTGCTCAACGGGGAGCCTGCTTCTCCCTCTGTCTCGGGCTGCAGCCCAACCTGCTTTTGTTCTCTCTCTGGATCTCTCTCTGTCAAATAAATGAAATCTTTAAAAATAAATAAAATAATAGTATAGATAAGAGATTACTAATTTTTAGATAATTTCAAAATATTTTCTGAACTTTTTTTTCCGCTGAGACAGACTGGGTATTAATTGTCAGTCAAGGCAGGTGTAAAACTTTTCTACATGGAGTGTTTGTCTTTTAGGTCATATTGCTAAGATGATTTCCTTTGCTGGAATGTTCAGTTCTTAAGATTGTTTCACCTAGTTACTCAAGAGGAGATTACTAAAAACTCACTTTTCAATCCTTTTGGTTCATGATCCTGAATACCAAATCATTGTTATAGAAGCAAAAGAAAGCAGATAAAGGTGAGAAACCACCTAAAATGTGCCCAAGATGTCAGAGCAATGAGAAAAGAAGATTCCTAAGATAAGGAGAAATAAAAATTGCAAAGATACTTACAAAGAAACCAAGTGGGGATTGGATTCAACAGTAAAGAAGTATTGTAGAAGACCATGAAGGGTATTCTAGAAAATATTGAAGTAAATGTAAAACTCAGATAATAAATCACTACAAGGGAATAGTGTGTGTGTGTGTGTGTGTGTGTAGGTACAGGCTAATATTTTTGATAATTGCATTCAAGTTAATGCACGTCTTAAATTAGAATCTCTGAAATGGAGTGGTTGTAAAGAAAGTACAAGAGAGCGTTGGTGGTACAGTGGTGAGCATAGCTGCCTTCCAAGAAAGTACAAGAGAGAAGTTTTCCCCTTACATTTTAAGTATATAAAATTTATTCATCTTAATGCTCATTGAAAAAAGTATGCTTACTAATTTATGTAATAAATCAAATATAGAAGTATAATTCTGTGGGTTTGTTTTGACATTGATTTGATGTCAACAATTTAAGCCTTTATGGTTGAGTAAAATAAGAAGGGCTTAGTATAAGTTTTTTAACTAAGGCTGACCAATGAATCACTTGAAGATTTCCTTTTTTTTTCCTTATGAAAGATAATTTACATATATAGTTCACCCACTTAAAGTTTAAATTTCAGTATATATACAGGGTTGTGCAACCATCACCACAATCTAATTTTAGAATATTTTAATCCCTACAGAAAGAAGCTTCATACTCCCTGTTCTTGCTACCCCAACTCTAGGCAATCATCAGTCTACTTTCTGTCTTTATAGATTTGTTCTGAAGACTGGCTTCTTTCACTTAGCATGTTTCAAGATTTCATATATGTAGAATTTTCTTATACAACAAAACTGAAAGTCTGCCGGTACAAAAACACCTTGAGATACAAATTCCTTTGCATTTGAAACTCAAAATTAATTTAGTTATTAAGATTATATTTCTCCTTTTTCACAGATCAGCTTTGAAATTTAAAAACAATGGAGAAGACTCAAGAAACAGTCCAAAGAATTCTTCTAGAACCCTATAAATATTTACTTCAGTTACCAGGTAACTGTTTAGTTATGGTCCTTATAGGGTCTTGTGATAGAGTAGTGGTCATTCAAATGCTAGCATACAGAAAAGGTTAGACTTAACAGCTCTTAAGATTTCCTATTTAATAAGGTGATACATATGAGAAAAATGACAAATAGAGCTTTTTAGTTTTTTGTTTTTGTTTTTTTAAGATTTTATTTATTTATTTGAGACAGAATGAGAGAGAGAGAGAGCACATGAGAGGGGGGAGGGTCAGAGGGAGAAGCAGGCTCCCCGCCGAGCAGGGAGCCCGATGTGGGACTTGATCCCGGGACTCCAGGATCATGACCTGAGCCGAAGGCAGTCGCTTAACCGACTGAGCCACCAGGCGCCCCAAGTTTTTTGTTCTTAAAAGAGATATTTTTGGGACGCCTGGGTGGCTCATTCGGTTAAGCGTCTGCCTTTCACTCGGGGTTGAGTCCTGCATCGGGTTACCTGCTCAGTGGGGAGCCTGCGTCTCCATCTGCCAGCTACTCCCCCTGCTTGTGCGCTCTCTCTGACAAATAAAATCTTTTTTAAAAAGGATATTTTTGAAGCTCTCTTTTAAAAATGTCCAATTATACAACATAACAAAAAAAAATACTGAAAACATTTGAGTACGTCATTGGAGGTTTTATTCTTTAGGGATGCCACACATTCCTATTCTCCACTATTTAGATATCAGGGGTTTTTATGCCAATTTGTGTAACAATAAAAATCTTTACTCTACTTTCCATGTTCATGTTTTCTACTACCACGCATACACTGCATTTCTTACGCTACTACTTCCTTTAAGAGCCAAATAGTAATGCATCTCTAAGTCACATTACTTGGAAACATAGCCCACATTATTCCTATATAAAGATGGGTCACCTGAACATAGCTTCTTACAGTAACACCTGCCTAATCATGTATATGCATGTTTTATTTTGCTATTTTTTTAACTTGGTCTGGAAAATGGTAATAGCAAGTTAAAACTCATATATATAATAAGTGTGGGTTCTTGAATAAAATGAATAAAAATTCATTCACAAACCAGTTACTTGAAACTTGGAATGCTCTTTCTTGTAGAAATTATATGAAAGATGATAAGTTAGTTGACAGCCATAAAAACCTATTTAGCCCATAAGATAGTTAACCTATAGACCAGTGATGTTCTCAACTCAATCACAATAAACACTTTTTCATTTCTGTTCTAAAGTGCACACCTTTCTTTATGGGCACACCTCAGTGGTATTATGTGTATTTCTATTCTTCCTAAGCCTGGAGAGGATAAATATGGTTATCTAAAGCAGAAGAGTGGTAGCTCCCCAGCTACATCTTGAAAGCCATCATGATAAGTGCCATTTCTATTCTGGCAGACCTAAATGGAGACGTACCTGCTAATGTCAATGCTTCAAAGGAATGGAGGGAACCATCTACTCCCCAACTCAAATTATACCCAGCCATATTGTCTGATATAACTCACCAAAGCTTATTAAATGAAATTTAATTGACAGCATAAAGATACTCCATAGTACTATAGAAGCAATATGAAAGGATCCTAAGTTTTTTGGATATAAATTACCTTCCACCATGATGATTCCAGAGACAAAAAAAAAAAAATAAAATCCTTCTTCTTATAAGTTAAAATCCAAACGTATTAAAGATGAAATCCTCAAGATCCAAAGGACAAAGAAGATACACACTTTTTAAAAAACTAGTCAGTCTGTTACTATTTTTATATTCATTACTGATAGTGCACCTCTTTATTGCCTACACCCAGGGCAGACAACGTCGACTGCTTGCCCTTGGCTTGGTGCTGCTTTTTATTGATATATAACTGCATAAACAATGATCGTAAGTACACTCAAAAAGTTAACCAGGGGGTTACCTGGGTGGGTCAGTCAGTTGAGCATCTAACTTCAGCTCAGGTCATGATCTCAGGGTCCTGGGATCAAGCCCCATGTTGGGGCTCTCACTCAGCAGGGAGTCTGCTTCTCTTCCTATCCTGTCCCTCCCCTCAAAGCACACGCACGCGTGCTCTCTCTCTCAAAAAAAAAAAAAAAAAAAAAAGAATCAAAAAACACGAAGAAGAATGAAAAGGAAAAGTTGCCTGCTATTTAAGAAAAAGCCAAGGGGTGTCTGGGTGGCTTAGTTAAGTATCTTGACTCTTGATTTCAGCTCAGGTCATGATCTCAGGGTGGTGAGATCAGATTCTCTCTCCCTCTGCCCCCCCCCACACACACACCCCCGCCGGAAAAAGAAAAACCCAAGAGACCCCTTTTGAGCGATATTTATTCAGCAGCTGGTAACTACACTTATTTCAGAGTCTCCTGCTGAGAAACATGATGTTACTCCTGCACTCTACTGTTGTTGGACTTATTTTGTAACAAGTTTGCAAACACTGGCTAGAACTGGGCTATGGTAAAACATGTCAGTTATCAGTGCTGTAAAGAGTCTTAAAGAGCATCTCCTGTTCTGCTACTGTGCAAAGCAAGGACTGTCTGTAGCTACATTTTAGCAATACTGTTTACCTGTGTAATGAACTTCTGTAACATTTTTTTTAATCATTATCTTGAAGTAGTATTTTAAGCCATTAGATAACAAACCTCTTGTTATGTTTCTCACTTTTTTAATTTAATATAATCTTGCATCTATTATAGAATATAACCTCAGAAGATTTTCCTAAAGAAATAAAAAATTATGAAGCACCTAGCTGACTCTGGAGCATGTGACTCTTGACCTTGTGATTGTAAATTTAAGCTCCACAGTGGGTGTAGAGAATACTTAAAAAAATAAAAATCTTCATGTTGCCTGGGTGGTTCAGTCAGTTAAGCGTCTGCCTTTGGCTCAGGTCATGATCTTGGGGTCCTGGGATCAAGCCCCATGTCGGGCTCCCCACTAGTGGGGAGTCTGCTTCTCCCTCTCCTTCTGCCCCTCCCCCGACTTGTGCTCTCTCCCTCTCTATCTGAAATGAATAAATAGAATCTTTAAAAAGTAAATTACAAAACAAAAATAAAGATCTTTAAAAAGAAATAGGGGAAAAAAATAGGGAGTGGGGGAATTGGGTGATGGGGGTTAAGGAGAACACTTGATGTAATGAGCATTGGGTGTTATATGCAACTGATAAAATCAGTAAATTCTACCCCACAAACTAATAATACAGTATAATGTTAACTAAATTGAATTTAAATTTAAAAAAAAAATTTTTAATGGGGGGGTGCCTGGGTGGTTCAGTTTGTTAAGCGCCCATCTCATGATTTCAGCTCAGGTCATGATCTCAGGGTCATGAGATTGGTCCCTCATTGGGCTCCATGAGGAGTCTGCTTGAGATTCTCTCCCTCTCTTTCTGCCACTTTGTGCGTACATCTGATCTCCCCTCCCCCCAAATTAATTAATTAATTAATTAAATCTTTTAAAAAAATAGGGAATTGTGTTATGGATAATAAACCTATTTTTCACAGAGAACTTCGGAGTTCCTAAAGTGACTTAAAGGTGGTCCAGGCCATTTATTCTGTTCGAAAGTTACTCTTGCTCATAAAAGATTATAATAATTAATAATTATTAATATTAGGATTTTCTGAAATTTGTGAAATCAAATGACTTTTATTTATTTGTCCTAGTGTAGGTGCCCAGGCCAGGAGTTAGTAACATTAAGGTCTTTTAAAGAGGAAAGCTAATTGGGGGCACCTGGGTGGCTCAGTTGAGCATTAGACTCTTGTCTTCTGCTCAGGTCATGATCTTGGGTTCATGGGATCAAGCCCTAGCTTCGGGTTCCGCACTCAACACAGAGTCTACCTGTCCCTCTCCCTCCCTCTCTGCCCCTACCCTCACTCACGCACTCTCTCTCCTTCTAAAATAAATCTTTAAAAAATAAAGAGGAAAGATAATTATCATGTTTCTTTTAATTTTGAGGGATCTCTATGACTAGTACCTGTTAGAAACTATTTGGGGCCTTAAAAATATCAATCCAGACCCCAGAATCTGGTTAAAGGAAAAAAATACTAAAACACAACTGCATGACCTATAAGTTAAGCCATTTATTGTGCTGTTTTCTATGTACATTCTAAAGCAAAAGGGAAAATGTGGCTCTACATTGATTCTTTGTGTTCTTCATCTTCTGAACTTGTTTTTTAGGCAGTATGGGTTACTTTGCACAGATGTGCTTTGTAAGTATAGCTCAGATTGGCCTTTGTTAAACTGGAAAGTAAATCAAAAGTATAAAGTATATAGCTGCTACCCAGACCGTGCTCACCTTAAAGGTTACTAGACAGAAAATACTGCTTCTTGAACCTTAAGAGATCCTTCCCTTTTAGGCTTCTCACAAAAAGTGCAACTTTCTTTCATTTGGATATGGGATGAGAGTTTATGTATTCATTTGCTTGGGTGACTGGTGCAGAGAAAACAGATAGGTTTTTGTTCACACACACACAAAATAACTGTTTTTGTTCACTGAAACTTTTTATGTAACTTTTTCTGAAACCTCATCTGAAATTAGGATGTTACTGTGCATTCCCTCCAGCAGGAAGCTCGTAGAACATTATTAAAAGATATTGTTGGGGTTTTTATCTACCATTCCTTTATATTTGGGCAAAAATGACTTCTATTGATAACTACTACCCAAAAACCTCTTGAGCTTTCCATGTAAGAAAATGATAATATTGAAAAACTAATGGCCCTAGTCAAAATAAAGAAATTAACTTTTGACCAAACTGGGATGCTAAAAAGGAATACTTCAGGGAATTGTCATCTCATTTTTTGATAGGAAAGAAGCAGAGTTGTACAGTCTCTAAAACCTTAATTTAAAGGAATGGTAGATAATTTTAAGAGGTAATTTTATGAGATTTTATTGAATTCAATAGCAAAGTACATTTCATTAGAAATACCTATAGTTCTTGGGTGCCTGGGTGGCTCAGTCGTTGGGCGTCTGCCTTCGGCTCAGGTCATGATCCCAGGGTCCTGGGATCGAGCCCCACATCAGGCTCCCTGCTTGGCGGGAAGCCTGCTTCTCTCTCTCCCACTTCGCCTGCTTGTGTTCCCTCTCTCGTTGTGTCTCTCTCTGTCAAATAAATAAAAAATCTTAAAAAAAAAAAATACCTATAGTTCTCTGAAACAGACATTGCTAATTAACTGCCACTGACTAGACCGACTTATTTTTCAAAAAAGGAATGAATTAGATCATAGTTCGTAAAATGCCCATTTCATTCCAAAATTGTTGATACAAGTTAAGATGAAAGGAGTGGGCTTACTAGTGGGCCATTTGAATACTTTAGAATCTCTTTGCATGCCCTAATTTCAAAAGGCTGTGAGCTTTTAGAATGTGAATTTTGGTAGAGGGGGCAGTAGGGGCCCAGCAGTGATGGGGCTGGATTCAAGTTTGAACAGTTTTCAAGGAGGTTTCTGAATGTATTTTTAATAACTGAAATATTAATTTTATTGCCAAATTTTATTCTTTAATTTCAGGTAAACAAGTGAGAACCAAACTTTCACAGGCATTTAATCATTGGCTAAAAGTTCCAGAAGACAAGCTACAGGTATTTAGGCAATTCTAACCTCATTCTTAATCCCTAATAAATTAATAGATGTCACATAAAATACCTCTTGCTCATAATTGAGTTTAATGTGCATACATGTATTGTTTTATATTGAGGTTGCTAAATAATTGTTCATTGCAAAAACTAAGAAATCTGAGACTCTCATAATCTGTTAAGTATTTATAAGCTGTTTTGAATAGCTCAAATAAAATGAAATTATCACTTGTCTTTTTTGTTAGATTATCATTGAAGTGACAGAAATGTTGCATAATGCCAGTTTGCTCATCGATGATATTGAAGACAACTCAAAACTCCGACGTGGCTTTCCAGTGGCACACAGCATCTATGGAATTCCATCTGTCATCAATTCTGCCAATTATGTATATTTTCTTGGCCTAGAGAAAGTCTTAACCCTTGATCACCCAGATGCAGTGAAGCTTTTTACCCACCAGCTTTTGGAACTCCATCAGGGACAAGGTCTAGATATTTATTGGAGGGATAATTACACTTGTCCCACTGAAGAAGAATATAAAGCGATGGTGCTGCAAAAGACAGGTGGACTATTTGGATTAGCAGTAGGTCTCATGCAGTTGTTCTCTGATTACAAAGAAGATCTAAAGCCACTACTTAATACACTTGGGCTCTTTTTCCAAATTAGGGATGATTATGCTAATCTACACTCCAAAGAATACAGTGAAAACAAAAGCTTTTGTGAAGATCTAACAGAGGGAAAGTTTTCATTCCCTACTATTCACGCTATTTGGTCAAGGCCTGAAAGTACCCAGGTGCAGAATATATTGCGCCAGAGAACCGAAAACGTAGATATTAAAAAATACTGTGTACATTATCTTGAGAATGTAGGTTCTTTTGAATACACTCGGAATACTCTTAAAGAGCTTGAATCTAAAGCCTATAAACAAATTGATGCACGTGGTGGGAACCCTGAGCTTGTAGCTCTAATAAAGCACTTAAGCAAAATGTTCAAAGAAGAGGATGAATAATATTAAGCCATTCTTGATTAAGCCTGGTAGCTTATTGCAGTTGACTATTTTTTTTTGTCTTTTAGCCTATCACTTTTTAAAAAATCTGGACCAAGCTGTCACTCTCCACAAACTGAGTGAATAGGGGTGATGTGAATGAGTTTGTTTCCATTTAGAACCCCTTTGTACAGATAATCATCATATACAAAGTTGAAGGAATCAAAAGGAGCCACATTTAAATAGGTCTAATTTGAATGTCAGAATGTGCTGTGTTTGGACCTTATGGACAACTGCCACAAATGTTCTGTTGATTCTGTCAATAAAGAAGACTTCAGCTTCCAGGAATTTTTATCCAGATACTTCCTAACTACCGTATGAGCAGTTCCCCATTCGTCTACCCCAGTTTCAAGCCAGTGACTCCTTGGGACCAGTTTCTGTAGCGAGCTGGCCCAGAGACCACTGGACCTCCTCTTTCTTCCTAAATGTTGCTACTTAGAATATCTCAGTCTCTTCTTGGAAACTCCCTCACTGAAGTCTTCCATGAAAGAGCTGACCATGATACTCAGTAAGTGCACTGGTCTTTTTTCTTACCCCCTTCCTTTTTTTCTTCTTCCTGCCCAGCAAATTCAGCTCTTTAACCAAGGAGTCTCCACCTAATGAAATTTATATGCTAGCCCAAATTCATTCATTTTTCCTTGTAATTTGTGATCCAAAAACTGATTAATATCTGGGTACAGCAATGGCTTTCCATTTGTGAAGAAACAAGGGTATATGGAAAAAGTATTTTAGGAAGGAGCCTTAATTTAAGCCTTTTTATATTTTCCTATTGGTTAGTAGTAAAAATCATAAAAGAGCTGTTTGCTCACCCGAAGTACAAAAGCAGGGGGAAATGTTCTTTTCCTTGCCACCCAGGTCACTACTTCCCCTTGAAGGCAATTGGTGCTTGAATAGAAAGGGAAGTAGGTATCTTTAATCTCTGTGATTAAAGGAACGAGAAGTGTTAACCTGAGAGCTAGTGCCTGGCTGAAAAGTAGTCAAAGGCTATGCTATCAGGCACTAATTAGCTTTATAGTGCTTTAACCCTGACTCTCTATCCCTTTTGTGTACTTTCCACCACCAAGCCCCTGGAGCCATCTGGCAACAAGAGGTAGGAGAAAAGAAAAGAAAAACCCTGATTCCTTCATTTACAAGTGTTGCTTACCTCTCAAAATGAAACTGTGTTTTTCAGAAACATTGCATTTTGCTTGTTTGGTTCCATTATAATATGTTATATCAGATTTAATCACTATGTACTTACATGAGAAAATCTCACTGAAGCCTTCAGCCGAAATTGTTGAAGAGTTGGGTACTACATTTACTAGCTTTTAAAATAGTTTGAATCTTCCATTTTAATTGACATAAGGGAAACTTAAAATCATGGGTATTTATGCTGCATTATGGAAACTTGAACTCTGTGTTTATGACTCCATTACTTAAAAACATAAAGATTATTCAAAAAAGATCTGATGCTAACTACATAGACAAAATATTTACCTTTAAGATGAAGACTGTTTAAATTGATTATTCCTTACCTAATCAAATTAATCTTGGCCTGGTGCTATTCATGATTCTTTTGTCATTTGTATCTGGTCTTTGTCAATGACAGAAATGCTTGACCTTGAAATGGGGACTTAAAAAAGAGTCATTTTATCCATTAAGTAATCAAAAATCTATTCTTTTCACTTGAACTATAATCACAGTTGTCAATACAGAAGAAAAACAATGTAAGAGTAGTTTAAATCTAATAAAATATATTAATTTATCTACTTAGGTTTAAGCTACAGTATTTTTTTTTTCTGCTTAAAGGAATGTCTTGGAACCAAAGTAAGTTGGATTTTGTCATGTAGAAGACCTGTAATTTTAAAACATTTTCACATTTTCTAGTCTATGGAGGTTCAAAAAATAAATTGATTTTTTTCCTTGCCAAAGCCAAAAGAATGAAGGCTAAATTATGTTGCCATAAATCACTTTCGGCAAGATTTTAAATCCGTCAGCTCTTCTCTATTCTACTCTATTCCACTCTGTTAACTTCTAACTTGACTTCCTTCCTTTCCTGACCTATGCCCTACAGTCATTCACTAAAGGCGGCCTTTCAAGAGCTTTCTCAGATCACTTTCCTCAGGCCTTTCTCATCCTGCCAACTCCCAATCTTGGATGCTTCCAACCACCCCCATCTTTGTTCTCCCAACTTGTACTGCCGGGGAGCGTTTCCAGAACTGCTGTTAGAACCATTGCAGGTTAACATGTTAAGGCCTCAATAAGCCCTTTATCTAATCCTGATGGAGTTTTCACATTTATCAATCTAATGTCCCCTGCTTCTTTTCCACTCTTTTCCCAGTTAGTGGAAACTCTGCAAACTTTCCTCCTCCCTACTTCTTAGGTCTGTCTTCAAATTGTCTGCCTTTCATCTCAAGAAAAGTTGTTTGTCCTCATGCCATTAGGCCAAGGAAGCCCTCCTGCTCGTTTCCCTCCCTTTCTGCCTCTTGAGGGCCTATATCAGTCCCCTGCCATATACAAGTTTTATCCATTGGCTCTTTTTTTAATCAGTGTATTCAGAGGAAGGAAAAGGGGAAGGAAATGTACATAGAAGAAGTACCTATTGGGTACCAGATAATTTGTTTTTTTCTTCAAGCATTTGCTGAGCAGAGCCAGGAACTTGAATACAGGTCAAAGCACGTTGTTCTGTACAGCCAGCCTCCCATTCTATGTGCACACTTAAATGTGTTTAAAAGTTTGGAAAGCACTTGTCTATTATAATAACATACATTCCAACCAAAGCGGTCTTTACAAAGCATAAATCTGATTGTCATTCCCGTGTCTTACATTCTTTTTGGTTTGTTTGGGCTTTTTGGATTTTTTAAATCTATTTTAGAGAGAGAGCACACGAGCAGGGAGGAGCAGAGGGGGAGTGAAGGGGAGAAAGAATCTGAAGCCAACTCCATGCTGTGCTCTGACAGAGCCCGATGCTGGGTTGATTCCACTCCCTCTGAAATCATGACCTAAACCGGAACCAAGAGCCAGATATCAGCTGAGCCGCCAGGCACCCCTCTGACATTCTCTTTGAATCCTCAGTACTGCCACCTATAAATCCCTTGGCATCACATATAAGGCTTTCCAAAATCTGATCTCCAACCCACCGTAACTAACGATATTTCCTAACACTTCACTCTCCCCACACAGCTTATGCTCTGCCATTAAATAGTACTCATCATTGCTGAGACTATTTTCATTTAATTTTTTTAGAATATTTCCTGAATGCCTATGTGCTAGATCTACGCTAGGCTTTGGAGATTTAAGAGTGATACACTATTCCTTCCTGTAATGGAGACTAGTAAGTAAATAGCCAATTATTAAATAGCATTTTTAGTGCTGGAATTGGGGCCCCTAATTACTTTTTTACTTGTCTCCCATTGCATTGGAAACTCATTAAGGGCAAGGACTGTGACTTATTCACCCTTGTATTCCTAGAAGCACTTAATAAATATTTATAATGAATAAATCTACTTGAAACTAATCTCCCACCTCTCAAGGTTTCCATTAAAAAAAGTGTGTGAAAAGATAACATAAACTTCAAATGTTAACTTTTGTGTTAATGTGGTTCTACCTCTAACTTTCTCAGATGATTCTTACTCAATGTTCTGTTCGCTTCTGAAAGGATTCTTAGACTGCTTACTGTTTTGTCTGTGATTACTATTTTATCCAAAGACTGACCTCAAATTCAGGTCCTGTTACTGCCTACTCATTTGAGCTTTCCATCATCACCTTGAAATAACGTATTTAAAACCAACCTATACTTCCCTTCGATCCCTCTACCAATCCAAACAATGGAATGAAACCACTTCAACCCCTGCCTTTTCTATCACCGTCTTTATGCTTCAAGTGATCCAGGAGTAATTTATTTACCCTCATCACCTCTATCCAGTCGTCCCAAGTCCTATAGGTTCGTCCTTTTTTTTTTTTAAGATTTTACTGTCAGAGGGGCGCCTGGGTGGCTCGGTCGTTAAGCGTCTGCCTTCGGCTCAGGTCATGGTCCCAGGGTCCTGGGATCAAGCCCCGCATCGGGCTCCCTGCTCCGCAGGAAGCCTGCTTCTCCCTCTCCCACTCCCCCTGCTTGTGTTCCTCTCTTGCTGTGTCTCTCTCTGTCAAATAAATGAATAAAATCTTTAAAAAAAAAAAAAAAAGATTTTATTGTCGGAGAGAAAGCACAAGCAGGGAGAGCTGCAGGCAGAGGGAGAAGCACGTTCCCCACTGAGCAAGGAGCCCAGTGCGGGACTCGGTCCCAGGGCCCTGGGATCATGACCTGAGCCAAAGGCAGATGCTTAACTGACTGAACCACCCAGGCATTGAGATCGTCCTTTTTTTAAAGATTTTATTTGAGATAGAGCGAGAGTGAGAGAGCACAAGCAGGGGGAGGGGGAGAAGGAGAGGGAGAAGGAGTCTCTCCACTGAGCCAGAGAGCCCGACTTGGGAGTCATTCCCAGGGCTCGGGGATCATGACCTGAGCTGAAGGCAGATGTTTAATCAACTGAGCCACCCAGGCACCCGGATTTGTCCTTTGAGATGTCTCTTATCTGACCCTTACTTTGCAATTTCCCTGTCATTAGAACAGGTTTTGTTGCCATACATATAAGGCTGATATTTGGTGGTTAGAATACAGAAAAAGACTCATTATAAAGGATCCCACAATAATGTGAATTCAGATATAACGCAATTGGCGTTCGGCTCCTCAAACCGTCCCCCCCTCCAGCTGGCTACTACAGACTTCCTCTGGTTATTCCATTAATCTTGTAGTAATGCAACCTCACATTTTATGTGATTGAATATACTGGACCTTAATGAGTGGTATGGCTTATTTTTACTATATACTAGCTAATAAAATATATAGTAGTGCAATAAGCAATAATGTTAGTAATGTAAGTTTCAGTATTAACCCATGAGTTCAAGTTAATTGTGTAGGATGTTTTATGACCATTAATTAATGGGCATCTTTTCACAGAGATGTCTGGAAGACACTTGTAGCACTAGCTGTTATATTTTGTGCGTTCTTTTTTTTTTTTTTTTTAAGATTTTATTTATTTGTCAGAGGGAGTGAGCATGACCAGGGGGAATGGCAGAGGCAGAGGGAGAAGTAGGCTCCCCGCTGAGCAGGGAGCCTGATGCAGGACTCAATTCCAGGACCCTGAGATCATGACCTGAGCCGACGCTTAACCAACTGAGCCACCCAAGGGTCCCTCTTTTTTTTTTTTTTTTTAAAGATTTTATTTATTTATTTATTTTGGGGAGAGGAGAGGGAGAATCCCAAACAGACTCCATGCTGAGCACGGAGCCCAACAAGAGGCTCAATCCCACGACCCTGAGATCATTACCTGAGCCCAAACCAAGAGTCAGACACTCAACTGACTGAGTCACCCAGGTGCCCCTATGTGCATTTTTTTTTTAAGATTTTTTTTTTAAATTTATTTATTTGAGAGAGAGAGAATGAGAGAGAGCAAGCACATGAGAAGGAGACTCCCTGCCGAGCAGGGA